CCGCCTGCCTCTGCCTCCCGAGTGCTGGGATTAAAGGCGTGCGCCACCATGCCCAGCTATCATTTTTATTTTATGTGTATGACTGTATCGCTTGCATGTATGTGAGTGCACCCATGTCACGCAATGCCACGGAGGTCAGAAAAGGGCTTCAGATTCCCCTGGAACTGGAGTTAAGGACGGTTTGTAGCTGCCGTGTGGGTGCTGGGAATTGAACCTGGGTCCTCTGCAAGAGCAGTCAGTGTTCTTTGCTGAGCCATCTCTCCAGCCCCTTAAAATTTTTTTGAAAAATTATTTTTATGTTTTGCTTGCATGTATGTAAATGCATCGTGTGTGAAATGCCCGAGGAGGCCTGAAAAGGGCATTGTGTCCCCTGAAACTGGATAGATGGTTGTTAGCCGCCATGTGGGTGCTGGGAAATGAATCCAGACCCTCTGCAAGAGCAGCCAGTGCTCTTAACTGCTGAGCCAACTCTCCAGCCGAGTCCTCCTTTCTTGAAGTTTTGAGGGACTTCTGCTTCCTAGCTCTTTCCAGTAGTTGTATATCAGTTCATGGTTTCCTAAGTTCCTAGAAGATTTTTCTCCAGTTGTTGACTTTTCTCTGGGTCTTAGAACCAGCCACAGGTGTGGGATTCTGTTATGCTTGAGTTCCCTCCTGTTTAGCTTATGTCCTCTGCTTTTTTTTTTTTTTGTAAACAATCAACATGTATTTATTTGTTCTATATTGTAAAGGTTGAAACCAACTTCATTTAAAAGAACAGAGGCGAAACAACACCACAGCTCAAGATACAGAGTTTTATACAAAAGTCAAGGAAAGCACAGAGTGTCTAAGGGCGGTAAAGTGGCCGGGGGGTGGGGGGTGGGCAGGTGGCAGAAGCAAGCAGATCTCTGAGTTCCAGAAGGCTGGGCAGCTTGGGTCAGGGCTCCTGACTGGAGACTAAAGTAGGTTTTTCCCAGGTACTTACAAGCTTTGAGGTTTTTCCAGAACACAGCAGCATGTGTTTTGAAAGGGCTATCCAACATGTTGGGGTCTCCTAGCAGGTTCTGAATAGAGAGCAAGATGATTCTGACATCATTGACATCATCCAGGATGACCATTTATCATTGAGGGTGCTATGTCCAAGGGAGGTAGTGTGGTGTTTCACTGTGTCTCTGTCATAAGAGTGGCCACTGAGGAACTCTTAGGAGAGTTGAGACCTAAGAGCCTCAAAGCTGTATCAGCTGCTCCATGGATGGGTCCTATCCATTTGAAAAGAAAGTCTGATTCAGGGAGGAAAGAGGTGCCTGTATCATTGATCATGAGGGCCACAGCTCCAGCTGTAGCCTGTTGCCCACATGGCCTGGATGCCCCCCCCCTGGTTGGGGTCCTTTGGGGGCCAAGGTGATGCTGGCAGCAGTGGGTCATGGTTCTGTGAGGGCATTAAAACAGTGCTAGCTAGCCGGGCATGGTGGCACACGCCTGTAGTCCCAGCACTCAGGAGGCAGAGGCAGGTGGATCTCTGTGAGTTCAAGGCCAGTCTGGTCTACATAGTGAGTTCCAGGACAGCTGGGGCTATAGGGAGACCCTGCCTCAAAAAGATTAAAAAGAAAACAAAAAACAGTGCTAGCAAGGAGACAGGAGATAACATCACTGCAACTCTGACCTCTGCCTTTAACAACTTGTGTGATTAGGGGTCTGTTTTGTTCTTTGTTGTTGTATGTTTGTTTGTTTTTTTCTGAGACTGGGTCTCCCTGTAGCCTCAGCTGGTCTGGAACTGGCTATGTAGACCAGGCTGGCCTCTATGTCACAGAATCACCTGCCTCTGCCTCCTGAGTGCTGGGATCAAGGTGTGCACCACCATGCCCAGGCTGTTCTGTTATTTGAGACAGGGTCTCACTCTAGTCCATGCTTACCTAGATCTGGAGATCCTTCTGCCTCACAGCCTTCTGAGTTCTGGGGTGAGAGGCATGTTTTACTGCATCTGATTCCAACTTCTTGATTCTGAATGTGGGACGGTGTTGTTTAGTTTCATGTCACTGGCTCAGCAACATCTCAGGTGGTCCCCAGTGAAACCCGTGGAGTTTGTTTTTTTGAGTGTGGTGCATAGGGCACCCAGGCCCCTCACTGTCAGGTGCTCTCTACCCTTCAGCCCCACCCAGTGTCCTTCCTCTTCTCCATTGTAGACCTTTGTCACCTAAGTCACAGCTCCCTGCCCAGGAGACATTTATTGAGTGTCCATAAGGTGGCAGTGCTGGGACTAGAGATATGGTTCAGTGGTTAAGAGCAGTGTCTGCTCTTGCAGAGCACCTGGGTTTGATTCCCAGCACCCACATAACAGCTAACAACTGTCCTGTAGCTCAAGTTCAAGATGGCAGTGCCAGCCTAGTATAGGGGTTAAAGCTGCAAACAAACCCTTGGGTGACTGGGAGGCCACTTAGGACACCTGAGGGAAGAGACACGACCCTTTGAGAGTTCAGGCTGCAGACAGACTTCCTGCCCATCACAACCCCCTTCCCTGGCAATCTCCAGGTCCTCAGGTCCCTGGACACCCAACTGAGGCACCCTGAGGCAGGTATCCTTGGTGGGCATGGCCATTTGGCTTTGATGAGTTTCTGACTACAGTGAACTATGGAGTTGAGGCTTCTTGCCAAGTTGATGGGGTACCTCAAAGCCCCTTTGGTGTTCCTGAGTCAGGGATCTCAGCCTCCTACAGAGGGTTGGAGGAGCAAGTGAGGGTAGTCAGAGGCGCCTCTTCTATCTGCTTCTAGTTCATGCTGTTACAGATACAGGGACAGACAGCCCCCCCACAGCCCCACCTCAAGGCATCAGTTACCCCAGTTTACATCTGGGGACATAAGGTGTCTGGGTGGTCAGCCAGGCCCTTCATCAGAGTCCCCAGGGCACTTTCACCAGCTCTCTGGAGGTGACCTGGTCATGTTCCACTGTCCCTTGCAAGCAGGAAGGTCACCAGGATTTTAGGCAGCTTGAGGCAGGGCCTTTTCCCCTGGGCAGCTGCAGGCCAGGGAGGTGGCTAGGTGCCCGACCGCTGGGCTCTGCAATGGTCAGAGACCCCTCGGTGTTAGCTCAAGCTGTGGTCCTCTGTACTCCAGAGGCTGGGGCAGGAGGGAATTAAGCCAGCTTGGACCACACAGGAACAGGTGTTCTGATCTGCATGGCTCACCTGGCTGGCACCTCGGGTTGATTTAGCCATTCCCCTGCCTCAGACCTTCTAGCCTCAAACCAGCCAGCACCTTCTGGGCACCTCGACTCCATCTCTCTCCTTCACCCTCCACCCTCCATAGGTGGACTTCAAGGGGCACTGGGAAGGTTCTGGAACCTTTTTTCTCCCCACACAAGTTCTGTGTTCAGAGCCCAGGCAGACCTTGAGTTTGTTGCAGTCCTGACTCAGCGTCTCAAGTGTGGGGATCACAGTGGGGCGGGACTCAGCTTCCAGAGCCTCTGCCAGCCCAGACCTACATGCCATCTTGTGCGCCAGCTTCCTGCTGCAGAGGCTTGGGGGACTTGGGGGCCCTGCAGGGCAGTGAAGCTCTCTTTTCCATGGGGTAGCAGAGGCTGGAGGGGTACGTTTTGAGGCCTCAAGCCACCACCGTCTCCGACCTCAAAGACACCAAGAGCCAGTGTTGGTGTCCTTTACTGGGGATGATACAGGACACCACCTTTGCTGGTTCCCCTCCTAAGTGTCCTCCGAGTCGTTTAATTTAGCCAGATGTGGTGGTGCACACCTGTCATCCCAGGTCATCCTCAGCTACATAGCGATTTTGAGGTCTATTTGGGCTACATGAAACAATCTATAAAACCCCAGATAGATGATTGATTGATTGATTGATTGATTGATTGAAGGAAACAGGCTAGAGCTCAGCTTCATAGAGCACCCAGATTTGGGGGGTGCAGTGGTCTCTGTGGCTGGAGTCAGCGCTGTGTGCTGGACACGTTGGGGGATAGTAGGGCCCCCTTTGGAGTCACATCAGTTGGGACAAACTTGTGACTTCCCTACCACATGCCTTCTGTGGCAGCCACGTTGGGGCTTTGCATCCCCTAAGGTCCCAGGCAGTTAAGGTTAGACTGTGTGACACCAGGGAAGCTCCTGCTGTTCTTCACCCTGCCCATCTCCCCACAGCTGTCCAGCCCTGAGAGAGAAGTGGAGAGGGACGTCTTCCTGTACAGAGCCTACCTGGCACAGGTGAGTGTGGTCCAAGAGTGACACCCACAGCCAGGGTTGGGGCAAGGGACTGGGAAGGGGCATAGGGCAATGGGTGGGGAAGCATGGCTGAACAGTCAGTCTGTGTGACTGTCCCAGGAAGCACATCTGTTACTGAGGCCCTTGGCAACCAGGCTAAGGGGCCTATGCCAGGATTCCTTGATTGTTTACATTTTATTGGAGGGGTCTGGTTGTTTGGTCAGAGGACAACTTGTGGGAATTGGTTCTCTCTTTCTACCATATGGATCCCAGGGATTGAACTTAGGTCATCAGGCTTGGCAGCAAGTCTCTCTACCTCATGATTCATCTTGCCAACCTTTTATTTTTTGAAGTTTCACTGTGTTACCCAGGCTGAACTCCCAAACACCTGGGCTCAAGGGATACGCCTACTTCAGCCTCCTGAGTAGCTCCATTACAGGTGTGCCAGGATGTCAACTGTTTTTGCCCTGACCCACGCAGGGAGTATAGGACCTAGGATGAAGCTGGTGGTGCAGGTTCTGAGGCTGGTCTGGCTGGTCTGTCAGGCTGCACCTCTGGGGCATATGAGCCCCATCTGGTCAGAGTGAAGGAGAGAGATCTTAAGTGTCCCTAGAAATATGTTTTTGAACAGGTTCTTTCTATGTAGCCTAGGCTATCCTCAAACCTGAGTCCTGTCTCAGCCTCCTCAGTGCTGGAGTGACAGGCCTGTGCCCTGGGCAGGGCTCGGGTTGTTTTTAGAATGTATGGTGCACCCTCATGTGTCTCATGTGGGTAACGATGCATTGAAAACCATAGTGCAGCTGACCCTGGTAGCACATACCTGTCACTCGAGTACTGTGGAGGTGAAGGCAGAATGATTAGGAGTTCTAGCCTGGGCTAGAAGGACTGAAGCAAGGGGTAAGGGCCCTTGGCCCCATAGGTGGCCACAGGTCAGCCAGGAGGCCTGCTGTGTGCAGGAGGGCGGGGCAGTACAGATACCCTGCCATCCCCATGCTGCCAGTGCTACCTTGTCCTAGTGACACCCATTTTCATCTGTCCCCTCACCTGTAGTGAACAACTATGGAGGAACCATGACCTGCCATGGTCCCCCTACAGTAGTGTGGTGAAGTGGTGAGGGTACACCTGGCTACCTCGATGCAGGTACGGGTGATGGTCTCCTGGCTTGGACAGCTCCATATGGGAATGACCAGACTTAGTCAGCCCCAGGCAGCAAGTGACTCACTGCATTTGACTTCCCCCCACCCCCATGGTGCTGGCAGTCAGGCTGACAACGCAGAGTCCTTTAGGCAGGCAAGGCTGATTCGAGGTTGTTGTGACTGCAGAGGAAGTATGGTGTGGTCCTGGACGAGATCAAGCCCTCCTCTGCCCCAGAGCTCCAGGCTGTACGAATGCTCGCCGAGTACCTTGCTAACGAGAGCCAGAGGTGAGGCCTGACTGGGGCCAGTGGCCTGGGGGACTACTGTTTATTCCAGCCCATATAGGGGAGGAGAGTTGCCCTTTCTACCTGCCTCTTCATTTCCTGGTGCCTGTTTCTCGCTCCCGCCCAGTAGAGGCAGCAATGGACCTTGTTTCAGAGTGCTCACAGGGATGGGGGTGTGACTCTTTGGGAGAGAGGAAATTTAGCCTGCACATGGGTCTTGACTTATATTCCCAGCAAAGAAGAAGGCATGGGGGCTTTAGGGATGGTTCACCAAGCCCTATCCCAGAGCCTTATACTCAGTCTTGCAAGGGACCCAGGAACAGTCTCCTCCTGCCAGCCTGGCTGGCCAGCACACAGGGCAGGTGGGGTGCGTCCTGCCTGCCTCACCAGAGCTCAGGCCTCTGTGTGGGCCCAGCACAAGACCCTGACCCAGAGGCCTTTGAGATTCCTGTCCCTGTCTCTGCAGGTGGGCACCTTCTGAGCCAGGGTGGGATGCAAACGGCCTCTGCCGTCGCTGTGTGGCCCCTCCCTCTCGAACCACAGTTTGCCCAGCAGGCCTAGAATACCTGTTCCCACTCTCACAAGCCTCAGTTTTACCATTTGCATCAGGGTGAATTTGGCTTGAGGTGTCAAGGGCCTCATACTCACGGGCATGTTGGGTTGTCTGGTACTCTTCCTACTGCTGTGCACCCTTGGGACCTGACCCACCTTTTCTGGTCTCCTAAAGAATGGGTCTCCTCATGGTCACAGGGCTGAGGCTACCTCCTGCCTTAGCCTTAGGCCCTGAACAGCTGCATCTCACAGGGATGCCATTGTGGCGGAGCTGGACCGTGAGGTGGCCAGAAGTGTAGACGTGACTAACACTACCTTCCTGCTCATGGCTGCCTCTGTCTACTTCCATGATCAGAACCCGGATGCCACCCTGCGCACCCTGCACCAGGGCGACAGCCTAGAGTGGTGAGTGGCCACCTGCTCCAGAGCCCACTTTCTTTCTTTTCTGAGACAGAGTCTTGCTGAGCCCCAGGCAGAGCCTGAACTCCAGGGCTGGAGCAGTCCTCCTGTGTCAGCCTCTCTAGGAGCTGGGATTATAGCTGTGCACTGCCACCGGGACATAGGACTGTGACTGACACTCATAAGGGCATGACTTGAGCACCTGGGCAGGCAGGACAGAGGCAAGCTGGGCTCCTAGTCTCACCCTTTCACCCTCTAGTGAGCAGCCTTCACACCTAATTACCCCTTAAAGGTCATTTCTCCCAGGACTCTGGGTGCTGGGTTGAACCTAGGGCCACCAGGCCAGCCCCCAGCAGTTACATTGCAGTGTGAACTCTGGAGGGACTGTCTTCTCACAGCAGGGACATCCAGGCCTCGCTAGTGTCACTATGGGAACAGTGAATGAGGTTGCTGTGAGCTGAGCGAGGCCAGACCTCCTATGTCAGGCTGGGGACTTTGGTCCCTGGACACAGCTGGCCTGCAGCTCCAAGGACACGGCTCCTCTGCTCAAAACCTGCAGCTCCCAGGACAGAAAAGAAAGCATCTCTGTCCCTAGGGCCAGGGACTCCCCACTGGCATCCCCCACCCCAGGCAGCTCTCGCCTGCAGTGTCCAGGGTGGCCTTATCCCTCCCCCATCCCCCTTGATGGACTCATCCATTAGCCTGTCAGTCCAGGAAAGCTTCTGTGCAGTTCAGTGAAGGGTGCTTGCCAAGCACAGGCCAGGCCCTGGGCTCCAGTATGGCTCTGTGGAAAAGAACAGAAACAAAACTCCAAGTAGCCACTACCCAGATAGCTCGGTAAACTCAATGGGTTATTTAAAAAAAAAAACGTGGGGCTGGACAGGTGGCTCAGTGGTGGTTAAGAGCACCGGCTGCTCTGGCAGAGGACTAAGTTCTGTTCCCAGCACCCACATGGTGGCTAGCAACCATCAGTAACTCTAGTTCCAGGGAGAGGCAATGCTTTCTTCTGCCCTCTGCAGGTATTGCATTCATGTGGTACTTAACATATATGCAGGCAAAACTCTTAAATACGTAAAATAAAAAATAAATTTAAGGGGCTGGAGAGATAGCGATTAAGAGCACTGGCTGCTCTTGCAGAGGACCCAGATTCAATTCCCAGCACCCACATGGTGGCTAACTACCATCTAGCTCCAGTGCCAGGAGACCTGACACCCTCTTCTGTGGGCACTGCATGACACGGGTGCACCTACCTACATGCAGGCAATACATGCTTACACATAAAATAAAAGTAATAAAAAATTAAAGAAAAAGAAAATATTAAATTTAAGGTGCTGGAGAGATGACTCAGTGGTTAAGAGCACTGGCTGCTTTTGCAGAAGACCCACGTTCGAATCCCAGCATCCACATGGTGGCTAACAACCATCTGTAACTCCAGTTCCAGGGGATTCGATGCCCTCTTTTGACCTCTGCAAGCATTGCATGACATGGGTACATTTACATATATGCAGGCATAATACTCATACACATAAAAATAAATCAAGCCAGGCATGGTGGCATACACCTTTAATCCCATCACTCAGGAGGCAGAGGCAGGCAGATCTCTGTGAGTTGGAGGCCAGCTTGGTCTACATAGCAAGTTCCAGGCCAGCAGGGACCACATGGGGACCTTGTCAAAAAGACCAAAAACAAAAAATATAATAATAATAATAATAAAATAATAAATTTAAAAACATTTTTTGTGTTTTTGCTACAGGGTCTCCCTGTAGCCCCAGCTGGCCTGGAACTCACTATGTAGACCAGGCTGGTCTTGATCTCACAGAGATCTGTCTGCCTCTGGCTCCTGAGTGCTGGGATTAAAGGCATGTGCCACCATGCTTGCCCCCCCCCAAATTTTTTTAATGTTTTAAATAATAAAAAGACTTGGAAGTAGGACAGAGGTCAGAGAGCTGGCTCAAGGGTAAAGGTGCTTCCTGCTAAGCCTACCAACCTGAGCTCAAGCCCTGGAACCCATGTAGTGGGAGTTGAGAACCTCCTACAAGTCGTCCTTTGACCTCAAACACACAAAATACGTGCTGGCACTAAAATAAGTAAAATTTGGAAAAAAGAAAAAGTAGGAAGGGGTCAAGCTGGGAAGAAGTTTCTAGAGGGAGTGGGAGAGTAGTGGAGGGTGAATATGATCAGAATAGATAAATGAGTGTATGAAATGTAATGACAAAAGACTAGGTGTGGTGGCACCCACCTATGAATCCAGCAACTAGATCAAAGCTGGTTATTTTATCCCAGCATTTGGAGGTAGAAACAGGAGGGTCTGGAATTCAATGTCATCTTCAGCTACCTAGCAAATTCTAGACCAGGACTACATGAGACCCTGTCTTTCAAAGAAAAAAGGCTAATGCACATGGCCTCGTGTTCAGTACAGTGTCACTGCTGGAAGAAAAATAACTAGGGAAAGCCCAGTTGAACTCTGGTGGGTGAGCTGCCACTTCCCCAGGCATCTGCCATCCTCAGGATGAGGGGCTGGTTCCTGCCTAGAGGGAAAACAGACAGGTAGCCACAAAAGCCATCTTCCTGGGGGCTAAGGGGAAGGTATATCAGGGCCCTGCCCTCAGTGTCAGTCACTTGCATGGAAGCAGGGGCATGCCTGTGCCCCACCTTACTTGGCCTCAAGGTGTTGTCAGTGGGGGTTTCTCCCCCAAGACCCCAGCCCTAGTGGGTTCACTGATAAAGTCTTGTGGGGGAGGCACTTGGCAAGCCCAGACAGCACGCTGACCACCTTGTCTACCTGTCTACAGCACAGCCATGACGGTTCAGATTCTGCTCAAGCTGGACCGGCTGGACCTGGCCCGGTGAGCTGAGGCCTTCCTGGCTTATTTCCTTCTATCCTTTTTCTAGCCCTCGCCTGAGATCTTTGCTGGGGACAAGGGCATGAGTGCTGTGCCTCACTTTCCCACTGTGAGATTGTGGGTGCTGTGGGTGGCAGGCTGAGGGTGGGCTTCATGGAGCATGCAGGAGGCCAGTCCCCATGATAGCCCTAATGGTACTGGGTGGGGGGTGTTGTTGCTCCATGGTAGGGGCTTTTGAGCACATACAATACTCAGAATTCACCCCCAGCCCCACACAGTGGAACCCTGTCCCCAAGGAATGTTTTTGTCTGGAGTCCCACCATTTGGGACTCAGTAGGGCAGTGGATGGGACAGCACATCCTACTTCATTGCTCAGCGCTTCCTTTCCTGTGCCCTAGGAAGGAGCTGAAGAGGATGCAGGACCAAGACGAGGATGCCACCCTCACCCAGCTGGCCACTGCCTGGGTCAACCTGGCTGTGGTGAGCCCCAAGGGTCCAAGAATTGTCACTGCCAAGGCCAAGTGCACCTTCCCTGCCTCGTCAGCAACCTGACCTTGGCAGAGCCAGGTGGACACTGGGCACTGGCTTCCCACCTGGTGGCCTGACAGCCAACCTGCCTCCTGAGTCCCCCCGGGTTTGAGGCAGCTCAGCCATCCGTTCTAGGCTCCTGGGACTGGGCTGGTGACAGGCTGAGCATCCTTAGTCCTCTCTGCCCCGACTGTCCTGTCTCCTCGCAGCAGCTCCTGTTCTGGCTCCTGACATTTGGCCTCCTTTTCTGAGCCCTTTTGTCTGAGTTTTTACAAGTGAGCCCATGGCCTCTGACCTCACCCAGGGCCTCACATGACCATTCTGTTGGGTGGGAATAACCCCGATAGAGCTTTCTGGAAGGTTTACTTACTCGTTTGTAGCTTGGATTTTTTTAAATTTAATTTTATTTATTTTATTTTTTTCTGGTATTGGGATAGAACCCAATACCTGCATGTCTGACAAGTGCTGTACTGCTGAGCTATAGCACAAATATTTATTTATAATTTAGTTTTTAGGCTTTTGTTTGTCTTTTTTTGTTTGTTTGTGACAGGTCTCTTCTTTGTTTTGTTAGCTCAGGCTGGTCTCAAACTGGTCATGTAGCTGAGGCTGGTCTTGATCCTCTTGCCTTTGTCACTCTAGTACTGAGATTACAGACATGAACCACTAGGCCTGGTCCCAGCCCCATTTTTTAAATTTTGTTTTGAGATAGGGCCTCAGCAAGTTGTTCAGTCTGGTCTTGAACTTGTAGTTCTGGCAAGACTTGAACTTTGATTTTGTATTGTTTTAGACTTCTTTACTTATGTCAGGGAGCAGGCAGGATGTACATGTGTACTTGTGGAGGTCAGAGAACAGCTCTCAGGAGTCAGTTCTTGCCTTCCATCATGTGGGTCCTGGAGATCAAACACAGATCTTCAGGGTTAGCAGCGGGCACCTTTACCACTGAGCCTTCTTACCAGCCCAAGACTTGAGCTTTTTGTCTTCCTGCCTTGGCCTCCAGAGTAGCCAGGATGACAGGCAGGTACCAGCAAGCCCAGCTTTTTACTATTTTAAGGCAGGATCTCCCTGTGTATCCCAGGCTGACCTTGAACATTTTTGAAAAAATATTTTATTATTTTTATTTTATGTGTGTGCACGTATTGCCTGCATGTAGTTAAGTGCACCTGTGTCATGCAGTGCCCATGGAAGACAGAAGAGGCTGTTGGATCCCCTGGAACTGGAGTTATGGACAGTTGTTAGGGGCCATGTGGGTGGTGGGATTCGAACCCGGGTCTCCTGCAAGAACAACAAGTGTTCTTAACCACTGAGCTATCTCTCCAGCCCCTGAACATTTTTTTCACAGTCTGTCTTGACCTCAGGACCCCCACTGACATGTCACACCATGTAGTGAGCAAGGGGCTAGCTTGGGGTTGGTGGTCATTGGGTAGACACTGCCTCTGATGGCTCCTGTGTCCCCTTTGGTCCCAGCACACCCTGTGTCTTCCCTGGAAGTCTGTTTCCATGGCCACAAACAGTACTTGGAGTTGGATGTCATGGCAGTGGGGACTTGTGAGGTGGCCTGTGTCCTAGCCACTCTTTCTGGGGTCTATTTGGGGAAGGAGCCTGGGCTGTGGGGGTAGCGGGCAGGGCCAGCCATGACAGGAAGCATCCCACAGGGCGGTGAGAAACTGCAGGAGGCCTACTACATCTTCCAGGAGCTGGCAGACAAGTGTTCTGCCACACTGCTGCTTCTCAATGGCCAGGCAGCCTGCCACTCCGCACAGGGTCGCTGGGAGGCCGCTGAGGGCGTGCTGCAGGAGGCGTTGGACAAGGTGAGTAGGGGCGTGGGGGGATCTAACACCTACTGCCACGCAGACTCAAGTGAAATCCCTAACTGTAGCTTGTCACAAATGGGAGGCACCTTGGGTGACCTGAGCCAAACTGATACTTGCTGTCTCCCCAGCTGTCTGCTGTGAGGGCCTCCAGGGTGACCCCTCACCCAAGCTCTCAATTGGAAAGTTTTCATTTTTGTTGTGAGATTGGGGTCTTGCTGTGGACCCCAGGCTAGCCTCAAACTCTATCAGTCCTTGTTCTGTAGCTCCCAGTGCTGGGGTGACAGGCCTGCCAGCACCTGCTTCTCTGACTTAGAGACACTCACCAGCAGACATCTGGGGGCTGGGCATGCAGACTGAGATATCTCCTGGTCCTTAGTAGTAGGTCAGGGATATGGCTGAGGTGAAGTGCTTGCCTTTGGGTGCACGGCAAAAAGGAGGGCCTGGGGGAGGCAGGCCAGCTAGCGGGCACACCCCTCTACCCCTTATATCTGTGAAGACTGAGTTTCCATCAGAAAGAGTCAGAGGCAGGATTGAGTTTGAGGCCAACCTGTGCTATATAGTGAGACCATGTCTCCAAAGTCCTGACTCCCAAACCAAGAAAGTTGTGTGTACAGTGAACCTTGGCAGGGCAGGCCTGTCTACTTGTTCTGGGTGGCACAGGGATGTGTGCCAAATACACACTACCACCAGCTGTATGCCAGCCCTAGGTCTCCTGTCAGATCTGTGATGTGCTGGGCCTCAGGCTGTGTCCACATCCAGCAGGTGAGCCACAGACTCCCACCTAACCTGAGGACAACAGGGAACTCTGTGGCCACAGCCCTCAGGGGACTGTTGTGGGACTAGGTGGCTCTTGTCCCCACACACCTACACATCACCTGGAGGTGGCCCTCTCTGACTGGTTGACCCATGTCTTGCTTGTGATCTGAATCCAGAGTGCTCACAGCCTCTTCTCTGTTCTTTTTTGGGAATCGGGGAGACACAAGTCTACTTCTGCAGCTTAGGCTGGCCTGGAACTTGCAACCCTCCTGCCTCAGCCTCCCCAGCGTTAGGATGACAGGCCTGTGCCACCATGCCTACCTGCCCATTCCTGTTAGTTCCACCTCACTGCTATGTCAGTGCCAGCTCCCCCTGACAGTGAGTCTGGGGCACAGAGGAGTTAGGACTCCATTAGGTGCCTGACTGAGGTCCTGGATAGCTGCCCACTTCCAGTAGACCTCTGTTTCAGCCACCAGGCCCTGACTAGGCTGGCCCAGGAGCCTAGGGGAAGGACTGTCCTGGAGGCTTCTGGAAATGTCTCAGCAGCTTCCTGGGGAGACTTCCCAGCCTGTTTGCCGATGAGACTGAGGGTCTGCTCTACCCCCTTCCAAGGCCACTGCCTTACTGAGAGCACTTGGGGAGTGACTGGGACAGACTGACCCTGCCCTATTAGTGGCCTCTGGTTGCTTTCTGCCCAGGGCAGCCAAGGGCATGCTGAACAGGACATGGTGTGGGACTGGTGGGTTGGGGCATGGGCTTGGTAACTGTCTGTCCCCTGTGTTTTCAGGACAGTGGCCACCCTGAGACCCTCATCAACCTTATTGTACTGTCACAGCACCTAGGCAAGCCCCCTGAGGTAAGTTGCCGCTTGGCACAGGCCTGGACCTCTTCAGGGTGGTGGTGGGGCCCTGACAGGCAGAGTCCCAGGAAGTTGAGTCATCTGAGGGGAATAGAGGAAGTTGGGGTGCCACCCTGCATTAGTTAATCCTCATCCATTCTGTAGCTGCCCCCATTCTTACAGGGGACAATCCTGACTACTAGCAATAGGGGACCCCCCCCCCCGCAAGACAGGACAGGGCCAGACAGACATCCCTAGTGCTAGGTAGTCAGGGCTGGGCTAGAGCCACCTGGGTCTCTGCACCACACCCAGAGCTAAGTACTTACTAGTGTGGATAATGCCCTTCCCAGGCTCCTACAGGGTAGCCTGCCAGGATCGCTCCCTCACCCCACCACCTTGCTCTGCTGGGCAGAATCACTTTGGGGTCCCTTTATCTGGTTAACCTGTCCTGCCTCCCCCTCAGGTGACAAACCGATACCTGTCGCAGTTGAAGGATGCCCACAGGGCCCATCCCTTCATCAAGGAGTACCAGGCCAAGGTGAGGCAGGTGCTACTCAGGGACCCTCCTGATGGGAGAAGGCTGTGCTGTGTCCCTCACCTAACTATCATCCACATCTTTTCCCTCCCCTGCAGGAGAACGACTTTGACCGCCTGGCACTGCAGTATGTGCCCAGTGCCTGAGGGGAAGCTGCTGCCCCAGCATGCCCCTCACTTTAAGCCACATGTCATGCTCCCCATCCTCATCTGTCAATAAAGTGTCTGTGTTTCTTCTGTGCTTGCTCTGGCCACTGATGAGGGCATGTGTGAGCCAAGACTTACAGGAAAAGGTTGGTGCCAGCCCCTGTACACCACAGATCCTGTACTCTGAGGTACAGGGTGCCCCACTGTGGCCCCCAAGGTGCCCCATGTCCCTCAGTTCTCACTGGCCCTATAAGGACCCTGAGCAGCTTCAGGTGGCATGCAGGGAAACTGAGGCACAGGCCCATCAGGCAGCTGTCATGAAGGATGTTGAGATTCAAACCAGGGCCTTGGGGTGCTGGTAGGGCTGCTGCTCTGCATAGTAGGAAGGCTGCAAGGTCACTGATGGGGCCGTCTGCTGGGATTGAGACCTGCTGTGCCGGGCCCTGCCCTCCCAGGGACTTAGCCACAGTGAGGAGCCCCCATAGTAGATGGGGTGCAGCTGGACAGTAGGTAGGTGGGGGCTGAGCAGGACTGGGAGTGGGTGTGAGGGATAATCTGAGCCTCCTAGGTAGTCCCTGCAGGGCTGTGTGCCAGACTGGGTTCTGGGGGGTAGGCCTTGAAGTGGTAGACACCAGTTCTAGTGCCCTGTGATCACACCACTCCCTGAGGTCGCTGAGTAGCCCTGGTAAGTTGCCTCCCTTATCTCCCAAGAGGGAAATAAAGCCCTTGACTTTCCAGCCTAGTGGCTATCTGCATCAGGACAGCTACCTGAGACACCGCACTGGATGCCAGCTTAAGACAGTGATACCTAGCCCCATGGAGGGAGGAAATAGTGTCAACCCAGCAGTCAGTGCTGAGCCTTGGTGGCCACTTGCCAGGCCTCAGTGCCCAGGAGACCTGGTCCTCTGCCTGTATACCATAAACCACATCTCACGTGGTAGGCAGGCCTCTGGACTCTACTGCCAAGAAGAAATGGGCTGAATGGGGCCTCTTCTATTACCGTGGGTGCCGTCTGTGATCAGCAGTGAGAGCAGGGATGCTGGGGGCCCCTAGGAAGGGCCCGGTCTTGTACGGTCTGCGTCCCCAGCCTCTTGTCCCACCTAACTCAGGAGGGAATAAGGAGCCCCTGACCCACACCACACACTGGTACAGTGCAGCCAGGCATGGTGGTGAGTGTCCCCCATGTCATCTCCACACTGCAGACTATACAGTTGGACCCTGTCTCAACAAAGGTGGGGGGGGACCACACAAACATAAGACCTGTTTTGATCCCCAGCACCCAAGGGCATTTTTTTTTTTTTTTTTTTTTTTGCTCTTTTTGAGACAGGGTCTCCCTGTAGCCCCAGCTGTCCTGGATTCACCATGGAGACCAGGCTGGCCTCGAACTCACAGAGATCTGCCTCTGCCTCCCAAGTGCCTCCCAGCCCCAAGGGCATTTGTAACCCACGTGTTGGGGACTGCAGGTGGGAGATTTGAGAATCCCCCGGACTCAATGGCCAGCTAGTCTAACTGGCTCAATGACCTCCAAGTTCAGTGAGAGACCCTCCCTGTCTCAAAAACTAGAGAGCAGGAGGCTGGAAACAGCACCCGGCAGTTAAGAGTGCTCGCTGCTCTTACAAAGGACCAACATTTAGATCTTAGCACCCAAGGCAGTGACATACAGCCTCCTGTAAACTCCAGGTCCAGGGGACCCACCGCCACCTTGGATACTGTACACGTGTGGTGTATACACTCACAGACATGTTAAAAATTATTTTTAAATAGTGGAAGAAGACACGACCTCGGCCTCCACACACACGCACTTGTTTGCGTATACATGGACACACAAAAGGCTGGAGTGTGGCTCCATTGGCAGCATGCTTGCCTAGCATGTTCAGAGCCCTGGATTCCATCCCCAGCACCACATAAACTGTGTGGTAGCACACACCTGTTATCCCAGCACTCAGGATCAGGAGTTCAAGTTCATCCTTGGCTGCATAGTGACTTTGAGGCCAGCCTGAGCTACATGAGACTTTGTCTCAACCACAAAAAAGTTGAACAGTGGATCAGTGAGAGATGCCATACTGGTGAAGGGGTGGAGTAGAATTTAGGTGGGTGACAAGGACCTCCCAGTCAAGCCTGTGCTGGGTGTGAGCGAAGACTGAATGTACCTAGGGGAATGGTATATATACACACACACACACACACACACACACACACCCAACACAACTGACAGTGCAAAGGCCCAGACTGTGCTGGGTGTGAGCGAAGACTGAATGTACCTAGGGGAATGGTAGAGCGAAGACTGAATGTACCTAGGGGAATGGTATACACACACACACACACACACACACACACACACACACACACACACACACAACACAACTGACAGTGCAAAGGCCCAGAGGCAAGGCTGTGCTAAGCTCCTTGGAAGGGAGGGAGGGCAGTGTGACTGGAGGAAGGGGCAGGGCAGGCAAGTCTTGGCCGGGAGTTGGGTTTTTGGCTAAGGAAGCTGGAACCATGGAAAGCTGGCCTTTAGACTGTCCCCAGCCCAGGGAACCCTGAGACTCTGCAGCCCCACCCTCCCAGTCTACCAGTGAGTCTCCAGGCATCTGGGTCATCCACAGGTCTCCCAGAGTTGGCTGGAAGCTGCAGAACTAGGTGCTTAGCATTCCCGGAACCTAGTGGGCAGAGGGCGGGTCCCCAGGGGGCACCTCACACCCCAGCGAGGGCCACGTTCTCTAAAAACATTGTTTCATACATTTATTTGTGTGGGTGGGCGCGCGTGTAAGAGCCTGCTCTCTCCTCCACACTGTAAAGAACGAGGATGGAACTCGGGGTCCTCAGGCTTGATTGCAAGCACGCAGGAGGGGTGCAGGCGAGGGCTGACCTCTGGGGCGCCCCGCACCCCCCCTCGAGGGGCGGAGCTACCGATGGCCACCACCCTCCACGCTGGGTGCTCCGCACGCGCGGCCCGGGCTCAGCAGCTGCACGTGACGCGGGGGCGCGGCGTGGCTCGGACGCTTGCAGGCGGCGGCTGGGACCGCGGGCGAGCTGGTGGCATGGCGGCAGCGACTACAGCAGAGCTGGAGGCGCCCGAGCCCATGCCGAGCTACACGCAGATGCTGCAGCAGAGCTGGGGCACAATGCTGGCGGCGGCGCGCGGCTGCGGGGACTGCGGCTGGGGCCTGGCGCGCCAGGGCCTGGCGGAGCACGCGCACCTGGCTCCGCCCGAGCTGCTGCTGGGGGCACTGTGCGCGCTAGGCTGGACCATGCTGCGCTCGGCGGCCACCGCGCGCCTCTTTCGGGTCAGTGTGACCTGGGGACCCCAGTGTATTGCATGCAGGCGGGTGGAGGACAAGGGACCTGGGGCCACCACGCACGGACCCCACTCTGCCCATGGTGGCTGATGGGGAGGCTGTCCCTGGAATGTGGGGGACGTTATCCTTTGGAACAGGGCGGGGTGGATGCGGGGGTGTGGCGAAGTGGAGGGACTCTACACCGGATTAGGGGGTCCCCTGTGGGATGGGGTGCTCTGGATGCCCCTCCTGAACAATTTAAAATAAGGATGACCTGCTCGGTGGGGCCTGTGGGCCGCTGATACCCGAGAACAGACTTGGGGACCGATCTGGGAGGAAGGAGCCAGAACCTGGATAAGGAGGCCTGGAGGCACTCAGAGGTCGCCTTCGCCCTGCGCTGCAGGGCGCTGCTAGGTCTTCCGTGCGATGACTGCCTCGCTCTTGTCCCGAATCAGCTCTACCCTCAGACCAGGGATGGCAGAGGCCCAAGTTCGTGGACGCACTGAGGGTCTCAACCTTGGAAATGACCCTGTCCGCCGTATTCGGGGCTGGACTCTGCTGCCTCTAAGGGGTGATGGTCAAATGGCTCCGCTTCTGGGGAGCCTGAGGAGGCCACCGCCCAGGTGGGAAGAGTGACCCTAGTAGCCATGACATTGGCGCTTGACTCCACCCTTCCCCTTTCCTGGGGAGGGGGTTTTTATGGCCAGTGTGGCAACTCCCCAGGGGACTGGCTGGGGACAGCCTGCCCTTGTCTGGTGGTGGAAGAGGGTGCAGGAACAGAGAACCTTGTGCCCACAATGGGGCCTTTCTCTGCTGGCTGGGGAGAGAGGCTGGCCCTTGTTAGGACACGACAGTGTGTTGTCTACCCCACTGAGCCCACCCAGACTGCTGTCATCCATTGGAGGGAGTGATTGCAGCCCCCAACTGCTGGAGGGTGTGGAGGCAGGGGTAAGGAGGGCCTGCCTGCTGGTCAGCCCTGGTCCTCACCGACCTGGCTCCCCACCTACCTTGCTCCCCTCACTTGTCCAGCTGGGCTGCTGTAGGCCCTGGAGCCAGCCTGAGCGCAGCGCTAGCCTCAGTTCCACCCTCACGCTTCTCAAGAAACCATGGGGTGCAGGAGGGGCTGCCCCGTTCTCCAAAGCTCAACTTGGCAGCAGCCTGGTTGCTAGGGGTTACCCCAGCCGGGCTCTAGCTGTCTCCATGGCAACCACTGGGTGCTCTGGTCTCTTCTGGCCCCCCTCATCCTTGAGGGGAAGGGGGCTGGGCTTGGCCCCCAGCTCTGGAACTGGTGCTCCTCCCCTGGGTACTGAGACTCCTCCCACTTCCATCTCCCCACCCAATCCTTGTGCCCTCCTCAGTGTCTTGAGACTCCAGTTTGAGTCTCCGTCTCTGCCTCCTCTTCACCCTGTCCCTTTTCTCCCTCCAACCCCATCTCCCCGCTTTAGTCTCTTTCAGCCTGCGTCTTCGGTCTCTCCGAATTTCCCCTCCCAGACGCCTCTTCTCCACTTTCTCTCCCCCACACGGTGTTTTTCATGTTCCCTGTCTCCTGCCCTTGTTTCCCTTCCAGAGTCGCCCTCATCCTTTCCCTCAAACTCTCATTTCATGAGGACGCGAGCTGCGCTGACCACCCTCCCCAACCTCCTCTTTCCCTGGGCTCCTTTGCTTTAAACCTGAGTATTTGAGTACCCCGGCAGCTCTCCCCTCCTTTCTCTCTTCTCTCTCCTCCCTCCTGGGCCTCGCAGGACAGCTGGGTGCTAAGTTTAGCTCTTCACAGCCACACATGGGCTCTGGTTACCCCAGGCAGTATGGGAAGAGAGGCCTGGTCTTCTTAATGCCATATAGTGTGTGGCAGTCTCTGGGCCTTGGTTTCCCCACCCTAAATGAGTAGTGAGCACCTGGTCCTCACTGATAACCATTACCCACCTTGTCCCCCACAGCCCCTGGCCAAGCGGTGCCGTCTGCAGCCCAGAGATGCCGCTAGGTTACCTGAGAGTGCCTGGAAGCTTCTGTTCTACCTGGGCTGTTGGAGCTACTGTGCCTACCTGCTCTTAGGCACCAAGTACCCTTTCTTCCATGACCCACCTTCTGTATTCTACGGTAGAGATCCTGTGGGGATGGGTGCAGAGGGCTCTGTTTAAAAAAAAAACAAAAAACAGGTGGTGGGGGGCACTGGTGAGATGGCTCACCAGGTAAAGGTGATTGCGGCCAAGCCTGACAATCTGAGTTCAATCCGAGGGACCCACATGGTAGAAGAAGGGAACTGACTCTTGCAAGTTGTCTTCTGACCTCCACATGGACCTGGTGGCACATATGCACCCCATTCCCAAAGGCATTCAGGACTGGAGAGATGGTTCAGTAGTTAAAAGCATGTACTTCTCTTGCAGAGGACCCAAGTTTGGTTCCCAACACCCATGTTGGGTGGCTCACAATCACCTATAACTCCAGCTCCAGGGAATCCAACACACTCTTCTGACATCCACAGGCATCCCCATGCACAAGGCATACATATACACACAGACACAAATACACAAAAATAAAAATAAGCTAACTGTGGTGGCGCATGCATGCCTTTAATCATAGCACTTGGGAGTCAGAGGCAAGTGGATCTCTATGAATTTGAGGCCAGCCTGGTTTACATAGTGAGTTCCAGCCAGGGCTACACAGTGAGACCCCGTCTTTAAAAAAAAAAAAGGGGGCCAGGCGTGGTGGCACACGCCTTTAATCCCAGCACTTGGGAGGCAGAGGCAAGAGGATCTTTGTGAGTTCAAGGCCATCCTGGTCTACATAGTGAGTTCCAGGACAGCTGGGGCTACAAGGAAATCTTGTCTCAAAAAGACTGAAAAAAAAAAAAAAGACTTAGAAAAAAAGTCATTTGGGAAGCCAGTGTGATCCTATGCAATGGAACTCCTGATGTCAAACCAGCCCCAAGAAAGATTGGCCATAGGACCCTGGCAATGGGGTGTTCCGAAGAGGCTTCCGGGTGGAGGTGTCAGTTAACAGCATGTGTGAAGGCCCTGGGGTATCACAAGATGGCTGCATGAGGGTCCAGCTCTTGTCTGGAGTTTCAGTTTCATAGGATGGGTTAAAGCTGAAGATGGACAGATGAACAGGATAGGGATTTGTATACCAGAAAATGTGTTGATCTAGGGACCATGTGGGTGGGCTGGACAGGATGGTGACATAGCACTGACTTGCTCCATGTGACCTATCCCAGCTTAAGAGGCAGGTGTAGAAAACCCACTGCCACAGGGAACTTGGGCTGTTCTGCCTATCCTGCACTGACCACCAGTCCCTATATCCAGAGGGATGGAGGCTCTGGGTGGCATAGAGAGAAGAGGCATCATGACTCTCCTCACATCAGACACCACAAAAAAATTCTTTTTTCTGTGTATCCCAGACTAGCTTGAAATCAGAGATCCTCCTGCCTCAGCCTGGGGTCACAGGTGCAACTGCCACCACTCGCATGATCAGCCATAAAAGTTTCCTGAGTCCCCAGAGACTGGTGTTAGCTGTCATTCAGTTTGCCTTTATGTAGATAACCCATGATTGAATTGGATTACAGTTTGGGCCAAGGTGTTGTACATTTATTGAGCACCTATAGTTTCCTTAGTGATTTTGCTAGAGATGGAACCCAGAGACCTTTGCATATTAGGCAAACACTCAACAGGTGAGCCAGAACCCAGTCCCTCACTGGGGAATTCTAGTAGGGGCTCCACCCCTGAGCCACACCCCAGCCCCTAGCTGAGGGATTCTAGGCAGGGTCTCCACCCCTGAGCCACACCCCCAGCCCCTGACAGGGGAATCCTAGGCAGGGCCTCTATGGTGTCAGAGCCTCAGCCCCTCAATGTAGGATCCTACGCAGGGGCACTATGGTGAGCCACACCCCTAGTCCCTCAGTGGGGACACTAGGCAGGGGCTCTCCCTCTAAGCCACACCTCTAGTCTTTTTACTTGGGGATTCTAGGCAGGAGCTCCATTTCTGGGCCACACCCCCAGCACCTCACTAGAGAATTCTAAGCTGATGGTCTACCTCTGAGCCACATCCCCAGCCTTCTGCGTATACTGTGTACCAGGCTGACTTCTGCTAGACACAACCGGGAGCAAGTTCAACAAAATAACTGTTCCCACCCACATGACACTGGTCACCTGCTGCGGCACTGAGGGACTCCCAGTGTGTTCATAGCAAGAAGTGGCAAGAGAAAACATAGGCAGAGGGAACAGAGGGTGAAGTTTCAGAGAGGTGGGGTAGGATGTGTCCACAGGGACCCTACTGAAGGTGACAGGCTGAAGTGGGTCAGGCAAGGAAGGAGAGGTCATTAGGAAATGGTATTTACTGGAAGATGAATAGAGATGTGGATTTTTTTCCTTTCTTAAATTCATTTATTTCTGTGTGGGAGGGAGTGTGCATGTGCCATGGTTTGTGCACATGTGGCAGTCAGAGGACAACTTGTTGGAGTCAGTTCTCTTCCATTGCGTGGATCCTAGGGATTGAACTCAGGTTATTGGGCTTGGTGGCAAGCGCCTTTACCCACTAAGCCCTCTTGTTGGCCCCTTTGGAGCTTTGAGACAGGGTCTCACATAGCCTGGCCTGATCTGAAATTTACCGTCCTTCTTCCTCAGCCTCCAGAGGAGCTGGGGTGACGTGTCTGGCCACTCCAGCTAGCTGCAAGTACCTCTTTGTGTGTGTGTGTGTGTGTGTGTGTGTGTGTGTGTTTTATTGTTGCCGTGTGTATGTGTGTGAAGTGTGTAGGTTTATGTAGGTTGTGGGAATCAGATTCAGGTTCCCAGCTTTGCCCTTGTAGCCATCTCACGGGCTCCACAAATGCCCCTATTGCTGGTCCTGGAGTTTGGTTCATGTGTTCCCAGATGTTGAGACCACCATAGAGGACTGGCCAGCCTGGCCAGCAGGGAGGGAGAAGCTGATGTCTGGACCAGGGTGGGTTGAGGGGCAGGGGCCAGTGGAGGCAAGGATGGGATCCCAGGGCAGGGCTGCCACAGAGCTGAGTTGTGAAGGGCACTGCGGACGTGTGTATTCACTTGCCTGTCAGTGAGGCCCAAGGGCTGAGGTCTTTGGAGTGCTGGGCAGAGAACAGGTGGCTAGAACCTAGAGGAACCCTTCAACTTGGTGTGGGGTGGCCATGGAGAGGAGGTGGCATGAGTGAAGGCAGCAGGGATAGAGTGTTTACTTCGGAGGCCTGAGTGAGGACAGGTACCTAGGTTGCATGGGAAGGCTGAAGAGAAGATTCTATGGACAGGCAGAGCCCTTGGTGGGAGACAGGAACCCCGTCTGTCAATGTGGGACTGGAAAATTTTAGCTAGGCCCTGGTGGCACATACTGGTCACCTCAGTACTCAGAGGCTGAGGCAGGAGGATTACTGTGAGTTCCAGACCCATCTAGGCTACATAAGGAGACTGTCTCAAAAAAAAATGGGGGCTGGGGCTGAGTTGGTAAAGCATTTGCCTAGCATGCACCCTGGGTTGAATCTCCAGTACCACTTAAACCAGGTGTGGTGACACTTAGGAAGTGGAGGCAGGATGGTCAGGAGTTCAAACTCATCTTCAAGTACATAGTTTCTAGCCTGGGCTACACTAGACCCTGTCTCAAAAACAACCAAAGAGCAGACATGGTGGTGCACGCCTTTAATCCCGGCACTAGGCAGGCAGAGGCAGATGAATCTCTGAGTTTAAGGGCAGCCTGGTCTACATAATGAGTTCCAGGTCAGCTGGGGCTGCAGGGAGACCCTGTCTCAAAAAGACCAAAAAAACCTCCAAAATCAAACAACAACAACAAAAAAAAACAGAGGCTGGTGAGATGGCCCAGTGTGTAAATGAGGTTGCTGCCATGCCTGGTGACCTTGATGTCACAGACCTACATGGTGCAAGGAGAGAACAGACTCCTGCCAATTGTCCTCCACAAGAATGCTGTGACCCCCCCCCACAACACTATAATAAATAATGTAATAATTAAAAAAAAAAAAAAACAGGGCTGGAGAATTATAGTTCTGCTCAGAGGACCCAGTTTTGGTTTCTGACACCCACATGACAGATCACTGCTCCAGGGGATCTGCTACCCCCTTCTGGCCTTATGAGGTACTGCCCGAGCATGCGCGCGCGCTCTCTCTCTCTCATAAAATGAACAAGACTTTAAAAATTAAAATTTAAATAAAAGAGTTGTGCTGGGTGTGGTAGCACAGCTTTTAATCCCAGCAACTCAGGAGGCAGAGAGAGGCAGATCTGTGAAACTGAGGCCAGCCCAGTCTACACAGCAAGTTCTAGCTGGGGAGAGAGGGGTGGGGAGGGAGGGAGAGAGGGACCCTGTCTCAAAAAAAAAAAAAAGGGGCTCTGCCCATGCCACTCTCAGAGGATGGATGTCAGGGGGCTTGTGGGGAGCCTAAGGCCCTGAACATAACCTTGGAGCTCCATTTCTCACAGACTGGAGGTCAGGAATGGCAGTGCCCTGGGACATTGCAGTGGCCTACCTACTACAAGGAAGCTTCTACTGTCACTCCATCTATGCCACCGTGTACATGGACACCTGGCGCAAGGACTCAGTGGTCATGCTCATTCACCATGTGGTCACCCTGCTCCTAATCACCTCTTCCTATGCCTTCAGGTGAGCACTGGGAGAGGACATGGGAATCAGCAGCATGGGCAAAGGGCCTGGGGCTGACTGGAGACAGCAAGGAGGGGCCAAGGCAGGGAGGGTTGAGTCAGGCCTCCAGAGAGGGCAGCAGGTGAGAGGCCCCAGGCAAGAACCCTTCCTTCAACCGCTATCCACCCACTTTAAGGGGGCTCTGCTTGTATGACACCCTTTAAAAAATTGTTTTAACCAGGCATGTACCACCATGCTTCTAATCCCAGCACTCAGAAGGCAGAGGCAGGTGGATCCCTGAGAGATGGAGGTTAGCCTTGTCTATATAGTGGGTTTCAGGCCAGCTGGGGGTATAGAGTGAGATCCTGCCTCAAGATAAAATCCACAAAATATAAATAAATAAAGTAAATAAGTAAGAGCACCATGTGGCTAGTCTGGCCACCCTGACTCTACCCTCCTGCCTCCCAGGTACCACAATGTGGGCATCCTGGTGTTCTTCCTGCATGACGTCAATGACGTGCAGCTGGAATTCACCAAGCTCAACATCTACTTCAAGGCCAGGGGCGGCTCCTACCACCGCCTGCATGGGCTGGTGGCCAACCTGGGCTGCCTCAGCTTCTGCTTCTGTTGGTGAGGGGGACAGGGTGCCTGGTGGGTGAGGCCACATAGAAATGAGGTGTGACAGTGGGGTGGGTGGGGACAGGCAGGAAAAGGAATGTGAAGGACAGATGGTCAGGGGAAGGGAAGGTAGGAGGGCCAAGAGAGGCCCAGGAGGGTGGATGGGAAAGGGGTGGGGCCCGGTGAGGTAGGTGGGGCAAGGGAGAGAGAGACTGGTGGGGTCACCAGTCTGTCTGGGCCAGGCTGGATCAGAGGACACATGGATGGGTGAGGGGCCAGTGGACGGAGGGGGTAGAAGAGTAGAAGAGACTGCTTTTGATCACAGCTTCGACCCACCCCTCCAGGTTCTGGTTCCGCCTCTACTGGTTCCCGCTCAAGGTCCTGTATGCTACCTGCCACACCAGCCTGGTCTCCGTGCCTGACATTCCCTACTATTTCTTCTTCAACACACTCCTGCTGCTCCTCACCATCATGAACATCTACTGGTTCCTGGTGAGTTGGAGCTGATCCCAGGGTCAGCCCCCTCAGGACAGGCAGGGCAGCCACCCACCCACCCATCTCACCAGTACCTGCTTCTCCCACAGTATATCATGGCTTTCGCTGCAAAGGTACTCACAGGCCAGATGCGAGAACTGGACGACTTGAGGGAGTATGACTCACTGGAAGCCCAGAGTGTCAAGCCCAGCAAAAACGAGTGAGTCGGGGGAGGCCTCTATCCCCAGCTCATTCCTTTAGTGACACCCATTGATGAGGGCCCCTGAGGATGCCCAGACACTGAGGCTGTCCCCCAGCCTGTGGCAGAGACATGGATAATATAGCCAGTGATGCAGCTGCTCCATGGGACAGGGCAGAGAGGCCCAACAGGACCAGGGAGTTGCTCACTTGGCCAAGAAGGATGAGAAGACTGGATGGGCTGGACCGCCAATCCAGCTCCCACAGAAAAGCAGTCTGCAGAGAACACTAGGGCTCCTGGGCTGGGAGTCAGGGTGGCTCAGCCAGGCAGGGACTGTAGGTCCTTAGAAAAGAGTGATGCTTGGGTCTCAGTTGCCCCTGGAGACTTCACCAGCCCCTGGCTGGGGGAACAAGCAGGGTTCAGGACATGTGGCACCCCTGAGGCCATGTGAGGGGGCTGGAAGGCTTCAGAAGGTGCCAACCAACCAGGCTCTGGGCTCTAACAGAGTTGGGTCATGTGTGGTTCAAGGAAGCATGGGCTCTGACCCCATGAGGTGAGGAAGGGGGATTTAATAATGTTTTTAAAGTGGTGGGGGAAAGGCTATCATATCATTTTATTTTGTCTATTATCATGGAGGTGTGATATGTGTGCAATAGTGTGGTGTGGAGGTCAGAGGACAGCCTGGGGAGTCAGTTCTCTCCTTCTACCATGTGGGTCCTGGGGCTGGAACTCAGGTAGTCAGTCTTGGTGGCAAGCACCTTTACCCACTGAGCCATCTCACCAGCCCTAAAATTCTTGAAAACAAAGAAGAGCATGGTGTTGGGAGTGGTGGCACATACCTGTGGTCCTAGCACACAGATGGCTCCATGTCAGCCTCAATTCTAGAGACTCTATCTCAAGAAAAGACCCACACAAGTAAAATAGAAGCATTTTGTCCCCCAATAAGCATAGGCTGTGAGGGGAAGTGTGGCCAGGCTATACCTAGCACCTGGTCAATATCAAGGAACCCAGGCAGGTGAGTGGGAATAGGCTCACTCACAGACCACAGTTAAGGGCACCGAGTCAGAAGGTGCCAGGCTTGGAGGGACATCTAGTCAGCCTTGTTCCATAATACTAATAAAACCATAAAAACCATAATAAAAGAATCAAAGTCAGTTTCAGGCTCATATTACTGTTCTCCAAGATGAGGTTCAGGGTAGGGCTGCATTCAAGGTGGATGGTGTCCATTGGGGGGTCTCATTTGGGGTGTGTTGAAGTCCCTTGAGTACAAGCCAAAAGTTCTGTGGTGAGAGGGTGAGGGCTGAGGAAGCTTCCATAACTTTCCAGAGGCTTCTATAGGGAGCATAGTGGCTGAGGGGAACAGGTTGGGGAGAATCACTTAGATCTGAGACCATGAAAGCTCTCTTTGTCATAGCACTGGGAACTTATAATGAAGGAGTCCTTGGAAATTCGAATGCAAGGCTCACCAGGCCCAAATTGTACCCTCTTGGAGGTTCACTCGGCCTGCACCTGGTGGGGGGTGGAATTCCTGCTGTCTTTTCTAAGTACAAACTACAAGAGAACACTAGGAACACTCCATACCACCAGCCTCAGGAGCTCATTCTTTCAGGGAGGTCGGAGATAGAACAACTGGGTACAAAACAGGCTGCGAGAGATCGATGCCCACAAAAGAGCCACCAGGACACCTCAGAACTGTCAGCAGCTGTGGTGGTGCAGGCCTGTCATCCCAGTACTTGAGAGGCAGAGACAGAAGGCCAGTCCTGGCTACATAGCAAATTTGAGGTGATACTGGGTTACAAAAGACCATATCAAAAAACAAGAGAAAAGAGAAAGAAAAAATGAGTGTAGGAATCAAGACACACCTGTGGTCCCTGCTACTAGTTGGGAGGCACACCTGAGACCAGAGTTAACAGGTAGCCTGGCTACACAGCAAGACTCAGTTTCAAAAAACAAAATCATGGTGGGCATGGTGGCACGCCTTTAATCCCAGCACTTGGGAGGCAGAGGCAGGCAGATCTCTGTGAGTTCAAGGCCAGCCTGGTCTACATAGTGAGTTCCAGGACACCTGGGGCTACAGGGAGACCCTGCTTCAAAAATACAAAACACACACACACACACGCACGCACGCACGCACGCACAAATAAATAAAATAGGGGGTGTGGAGTATTGACTCAGATTGTTAAACTTGGCAGCAAGCTTCTTTACCCACTGAGCCCTCTTGCCAGTCTCTAGTGGCCTTTATTACTCTTTAACCCCCAAGTTAACCCATAAAACAAGTCAGACATGTACTTAGAGCTAGAAAGTTTAAAGTTGTCCAAGAGCTGAAAGACTGTCATCCAGGCACAGAGAACCTTGGAGAAGAATCTGGAAGCCACAAAAGAGGGTGAATCCAGGTGTGGTGGTGCATGCATCTCATCCTACAGGCAAGAGGATCAGAAGTTCATGCCAGGCTTAATGGTGCACTCCTTTAATAGCATTCAGGAGGCAGAGGCAGGTGGATGAGGCAGGTGAGTTCAAGGCTAGCCTCATCTATATAGCAAGTTCCAGGCCAGGTGGGGCTACAGGGAGACCCTGTCTCAAAAAGACAAAAAAAAAAAAAAAATTTCAAGCATAGTCTAGGCTACAGAGCACGTTGGAGACTAGCCTGGGCTACAGGAGACCATGCTTCAAAACAAACAAAACTTTAGGAAGTGGGTGTTGACCCCCCTCAAACCTTTCTTGGCTTAAAAGGATCAAGAATAGTTTAGAGACAAGTAACAGACAGGCATTACAAGCAAAGCTGCTGTCCCCGAGAAAGACCCATGATGTATATGCGATACCTGAAAATCAGCTCAGCTGCAGACAAGAGGGAATTATTTAAGTGACTGAGCCTGGAGCAGTGGTACTATCCCAGCTACTTGGGAGACAGAGGCAGGAGGACCTCTGTGAATTCAAGGGCTGGTTAATTAAAAAAAATTTTTATTTATGTGCACGCATGTGCAGATCAGAGGACAACTTTCAGGAGTTCTCTCCTTCTACCATGTGGGTCCTGGGGACTGAGCTCAGGTCCTCAAGCTTGGCTGCAAGCACCTTTACCCATAGCATCATCTCGCTGACCAGAACCAGGGTTTCAGGAGCTTTGGCTGAGCCTCCATGTATCCGCTTGAACTTGAATGTAGTCGCTGTCTGGGAAGACAGCAGTAGAAGGCCAGAGTCCTTGATTGTCTGGTCATGGCGGCGGTAGCAGCAGCAGCAGGCTGTGTTGGGGAGGAGCATCCGCAAGAGCTGGGAAAGGAGGGGACAGAAATTGCGGTCTTCTGGCCATTCTCTATGGAAACCTGGGTCCAGCCAGTAACTTTTGCAAAAAGTGTTTAGCCATCAGGCTGTCATTTTCTGGGTGCAGGATGAATGAACGCTTATTGTATTAACTTAGAAATTCTAGAACTGCTGTAACAGGCTGGGATTGCAGCTCAGCCGTGAAACACTTGCTTAGCATGCCCAAGATCCAACTCCATCCCCAGCACTGTCAAGCCCCCACAAACCTCCGCAACACTTGTAAGAACATTATGAAGGGAAGTCTGGGAGTAAGGCGCGTGCACAGTGCCATGGCACGGATGGGAGCCCAGCCTTCCAGGGCTGCAGGACAGTGGCTCTGGCCAGTTCTAACCTGCCTGCGAGGGAGTTTGTATGCGGAGATAGGAGTAGGGGAAGAGATGCGCTTCAACTGGGGAGGAGGAAGCGTGGGGTTCCCAGACTAATCTGCCCTGGGTTCTGGCCCCCCAGGAAGCCGTTGAGGAATGGCCTGGTTAAGGACAAGTGCTTCTGAGCCCCTCCACCCCAACTCCATCTCCCAGGACTCGGTCACGCCCAACCTGGGAAACTAGGCCTGGTCCTTGGACACTTGGCCACGCCCATAGGAACCTGGTCCAGTTCCTGGCGTTCTGGCCCCACCCACGAAGACATGGCCCTGTCCCCAGGAGGTGGGCTCCGCCTCCAGATGCTGGCTACCATTCTCCAGGGACCCTGGCCCCAAGCAGCTCCGCCCTTCACCTCAACTCTTGACCACCCACCTTGGGAACTCGGACCCGTCCCGCCCTTGGGATCTGTCCGGTCCCGACACGCCCCCTCCAGGACCTCAAATGACGCAGGCCCCGCCCAGCCCACTGGTCCCGGACCCAGCCGGCCCGCTGACTCTCTCGCCACCGCCTGGGAGGAAGATGCTGCCCGGCCGCCGCCGTTCCTGCCCGCACCTTCTACTCCTGGTCCTCCTGCTGCCCTCGCTGCCCCATGCGCGCGCGCCCGCACCCCTCGGCCCCGTTGCCGTGCAACTCCAGGCGCTCGGGCTGCGCGATGCACCCCGGGGCATGCCCACTCTCCGGCCGGTGCCTCCCGTTATGTGGCGCCTGTTCCGCCGCCGCGACCCCCAAGAGACCAGAGCCGGCCCACGACGGTCGCCCCCGGGGACCAGCGTGCGAGCGTGCCACGTGGAAGAACTGGGGGTCGCTGGAAACATCGTGCGCCACATCCTAGATGGTGGTGAGTAGGGCTTGTTCTGAGGACATGGGTCCCCTAGCCTGCTAGCAACCTCGTTCCTCTTAGTCCTTTGCGCGTAAGGACACATGCCTGTGATCCCCAAAGTGAGCCCTTCAGCCCGCGCACAACCTAGGGTCGCTTACCCTGAGGCCCCAGGTGCCATCTGCCCAGGTCCCCGAGGCGCGGCTTCCCGCAGTGTCCCTTCCTTGCAGCTGGTGCCCTGCCCCCACCTCATCCGTCACCCGGCGGGAGGCGGTCGTGAGATGCACTTCCCGGCCCTCTATGCTCACCTTCCTCCCAGTCTCGCAGCGCGAACCTAGCTCTCCCCTCGCCTCTCCAGGTGCGTCCTCCCAGGCCCCAGAACCCGCCAGGTCTTCCGGGTTGTGTTCCGCATGGACCGTTGCCTTCGACCTGTCGGCGGTGGAGCCGGAGGAGCGGCCAACGCGCGCCCGGCTGGAGCTGCGCCTAGAGGCCAAAGGGCCGCGCGGCCGGGAGCTGAGCGTGGCGCTGGCGGCCGAGACCGCGGAGCCGGGACCAGAGCTGCTCCGCGTGCCGGTGCCTGCGCCCGAGCTGCCTGTGCGCGCTGAGCTGCTGGACGCCGCGCTGGCCGCCAACGCGTCGGTTCCGCGCACCCTGCGCCTGGCGCTGGCGCTGCACCCCGAGCCGCCCTCCTGTGCGCGCCTGGTGGAAGCCTCGTTGCTTCTGGTGACGCTGGATCCCCGCCGGTGCTATCCACTGCTGCGGCCGCGGCGCGAGGTGGAGCCAGGGCTGGGTGGCCCTGGGGGCGCGTGCCGCGCGCGGCGTCTCTACGTGAGCTTCCGTGAGGTGGGCTGGCACCGCTGGGTGATCGCGCCGCGCGGCTTCCTGGCCAACTACTGCCAGGGCGCATGCACGCTGCCCCACGCGCTGCCCGGGCCCGGGGGGCCGCCCGCACTCAACCACGCGGTGCTACACGCGCTCATGCACGCGGCCGCCCCCGATGTCGGCCTGCCGTGCTGTGTGCCCGCACGCCTGTCGCCTATTTCCGTGCTCTTCTTCGACAACAGCGACAACGTGGTCCTACGGCACTATGAAGACATGGCAGTTGACGAGTGCGGCTGCCGCTGAAGGACAGTGAGACGGTCCCCGGCGACCCCTGGTCAGTTTGCATCCAGGGCATCTGGGGGCGGATGTTACGGGACCCGCCCCACGCAGCTCCCAGCCCCACGGGAAAGCCAGTACTGTTAATATTTTATTGGTGACAAAAAGCTTAAAACAAATTTGACCAAAACTCAAGTTCCATTGCCTTGGCGCAGATGTGCCTGATGGGGAACTCGGGTGGCTGCGGGAAGGTGGAGGGCAAAGCGGAGGGAACAGGGTCCACCTGGCAGGGCGGAGGACAGGGGCGTCTTGGGCCGCCCAGCAGGGCCCCGCCCCGTAAAGCGCCTCCAAGGACCAGGCCGGCCACGGGTGGAAGGGCCACGTGGGTCGCTCAGGAGTCCGCCTATGGCCAAGGAAGCTCCTACTCAAGACAAAGCCTCCGGCCAGCGCGGATACGGCCTCCATGCCACCTGCCTGGAAACTTCTGTCTCCCAGGTCCACCACTAAGGTCTTAAGAGACAAACTGTCAAAGCAGCCTTCAGTACTCCTTTGAAAGAATCTTGGGGGGGGGGGGGGGGGGA